GTATACTCATTATACGGAGGTACAGTACGTACGGAGAAGCGAGATTTATGCAATGGAAGAAAAAAGCAAGGAGGTACATATAGTCGACGTGCACTGTCACGGACCTTGTTTACTGTCTAGCACAACGCCGTTGTCAACGGTGCAAACTCTTGTTCAGTGCAACGATAACTCTACCAGATCTTACGAGAATCAATCTGTAGTATTCTGTACACAGAACTGTATCAAAGCTTGTCAAAACTGCTTTAAACACTGCAGCTATAACTGTGAAACTATTGAAATCTAAAGTGACATTATTCAACACATGCGAAAAGCTGAAAATAGACACAACGTGACCTTCGAAAAGTCAAAGGTCAATGAGACTTGTTATTGTGAAACATGTCACAATTACGTTAAAATGCGGAAGCGGATGGAGCGGATTCACGGAACGGATATGCGGATAAAATACGGAACGGATGAAGATAAAATGCTTCCTTTTAATGATATAATGACGTTGTGCTTATTATTCATAACATATCGTATACAGCTATTTCAATTATAGTTTTAGATAAGTTTAGCATAGCAGTAGCCTCGTGAGGATACTTTTAGCGACAAATGCAAATGCAAATAAAAATTTAGAATATGCAAAATTTGGTTGTTGGTGAAACAATTGAAATTTAGCATGCGTGTAGCATCACAATAAATAGATAAATTGTGTCAGTTTCACAAGGCACGTTTCTGATGTGTTAAGCTTGTTTCAAACGTCACGCTATTCGTGTGCCGAGCGCATTATAATGAGATGAAATGCCTTTGGTAATTGTTTATTTCGTAGTGTAAGCCATCAGCTTTTCTAGGTTGTCAGCGAACCTATCAGTAGTAGTCTTTCTTTTGAAACTTCACACTATCCTTGGATCCCTAGTTTCAATTAAAAGGGCTGAAATGCGCCTTAAAAACCATTATTCAAAAGGCTGAACTGTGCCTTTAAATGTATTGAATCAAATCTGTCATTCAGCTTCTCAGACTAAACATTAATGTTAATATATATCTCAACATTAATACAGTATCATGATAAAACGCATTATAATATAGCATTTGTAAATTCTGAACGCTGATCGGCTAAGAGCCGTGTTGCTATAACTCAATGTCAACACGGGAAATTTTCCGCCGCTTGTAAACACGGAAATTTTTCTTATCCTTCGGGCTTCTGACATTGCTATATTATAAAAAAAATATAATTTTTTTTTCCGTATTGATATACAGTTTTAGTATTTTTGCACAAGTGAACATGATAAATCCTACAACCTGATTGGTCAAATTTGACGTATTAAGCTGTTGTATTCACCTATACAAAACTGAAATTTTCAAAATGGCGGGCCGTTTTGTGGAAGTTTACTGATAATGAAATAAGCGAAATTAAAATAAATTCAGTACCAAATAACACAAAAGACTTGTGTAAAAATACTAAAACAATTATTCGCCTCAGGCTCGGTGATTATCGGGGAATATTTGCCGAGACGAAGTCGAGGTCACGTCGCCTTCGGCGAATAATTGTTATATATCAACACTGGAAGCTGGGAAAACTCGAAATTGTATGAAAACACCCCGCCCTTCGGGCGTCGTATTCTAGTCCATACAATTTCTCGTTTTCCCAATTCCACTCGTGTTGATATTTAACAATTATTTGCCGAAGGCGAGGTGATTATCGGGGAATATTCGCCGAGACGACGTCGAGGTGAATATTCCCCGATAATCACCGAGCCTGAGGCGAATAATTGTTTTAGTATTTTTACACAAGTCTTTTGTGTTATTTGGTACTGTATTTATTTTAATTTCGCTTATTTCTTTATCAGTAAACTTCCACAAAACGGCTAGCCGCCATTTTGAAAATTTCAGTTTTGTTATATTCACCTGTAGGTGAATATAACAGCTTAATACGTCAAATTTGACCAATCAGGTTGTAGGATTTATTATGTTGACTTGTGCAAAAATACTAAAACTGTATATCAACACGGAAAATGTTTTATATTTGGTAATTATACCGAGGCGAGCAGGCCTAGCAAATTGCCTGACTTTTTTACAAACTAAACGATGATTGCATGGCTGCATGCAACCCCCAGCAGGGGCGTAGGAACTGGGGGGGGGGGGCAGGCCCCCCAAGTTTTGCCAAGTGCCCTTTTTCCGGGATCAAAGTGCCCTTTTCTTGCGTGAAAAATGTCATTAAGATTGCATTTTTTGCCCAAAGGGCACTTTTGAAAACTTGAATCTATGTTATTTCCGGAAAGTTTTTGTTCATTTCCGGGAAAAATATCATATATCCGGAAAATGTTTTGGTATATCCGGAAAAATGTTTTCATATTTAGGAAAAAATGTGGTATGTCCGGAAAAATTTTCTGAGATGACCTCCCCCCGTCGCCAACATTTCCGGGAAAAAATTTTTAGATGCCCTTTTTTATTCGAAAAGTGCCCCTCAAAGCCTGCCCCCCCCCCCCAACTTTTAGAAGCTTCCTACGCCCCTGACCCCCAGGCTCCCCTGTCTCGTACGCCTATGTTTTATATTTTTTAACAATTTAGATTGATAAAGATTGCAACATACCCAAAACGAAGAAACAAACTAGGTCGGTGATAACATCTGATGATGATGATTTCTTTTTGGAGAATAACGGTGGTCTAAGAGTAGAACGAAATATTGATACCTCAGGACTGAGGCGACCGAGATATACAGTATATACCAGGTAAGAATTTCGCTAAAATAGTGCAAGATCCAGTAAGAACGAACTCTTAAAACTGTAATGTGCAAGTTCACTTTGTCGATATCTTAGCCAGTCTCTCTAAAGGTTTTTTTATGTGGGAGTTAAGCTCATGGATTTCCACTTGCAAGAAAAATTTCGCTATCGAAATTTTTCGCTCAATTTCTTTTGAAATGTGAGCGACCAAATAGAACGAACTGATTTATTCGGATGGCCACAATTCAAATGAAATCAAGCGAAATATTTCTCTGTAATTGGAAATCCACCCTGTGTAGGGCGCGCGAAAATGCTGGGGGGGGCAAGGATATTTTCAAGCACTTTAGTCTACTACCGTTTTTCCGTAGAAGATTGAGTTTCTTTTGCGGGGAGGACGTTAAAATATTTTGTGAAATTGTGGTACACTGTGTCTCAGGAGTGAAACAGTTTGTTGAACAAAATAATATAGAGAAACTGGTTTTTAATGGAAAATTTACATTTAAAAAATCAAATTGTGAAAAAAATCATTGTGGAGGAAGATTGAGTTTCAAAACTCAATTGAAGATTGAGTATTTACTACCATATATCGGTAGTAGAAAAGTGCTTGAAAATATCTCTGGGGGGAGAATACACTCCCAATAAAAAGCCCTTTGAGAGGCATGCACACTTGGAACAAGTCTAAAAAATCTTGGCAGCAATTACTAGCAAAAAAGTCAATGATGGATATGACAAATTTCAACCTGGCAATTCACCATTCCGGAAAGTACGTCACTTTGGCTATTCTCTGGTTTCATATGACGCCATGTGGGGTCAAGCTAGGATCTGTGTCAAGGGTAAAGGGCGGCTTTTATATTTTTATTCTTTATTAAAGACGGCTTTCAATGATTGATTTCCACTTGAGTTAAATTATGCTAAAAAATCACGTGATTGAAACCTAAGAATAGAGCCTCGTTGTCGTGTATCTGACATCAGCCCACCTCTAAATCACGAAAATGAGGCTCTATAGCCAAGGTGACCTACTTTCTGGAAGCATGTATTATTAGATTCAATAAAATTTTAAGAGTTCTTAAGTATAATTAAAATAATTAAGATGATATTTCATCTAATTCAAAAGATCTCTGTAAGTTGGATTCCTCTCATGACTTCACAGACATATACATTTATTATACATATGACTTCACAGATATATACAGTAATTATCTTGGCTTATTAAATTAACCAAATCAATCTCATTTCAGTTTAATGAAGACATACGGAGAACACTTTAATAAACTAAATAAATTTTGGACAAAACTTCCAACTGCTATGTGTGATGAAACCGTAGTTGCTACTAATACTACAGCTTATTGTTGGGATGGTTCTAAGATTGTTAAGTAAGTATAGAACTATAGCTACAGAAATCAGGGCTCATTCTAAGTAGAAAAGACTGTTCTCAGAGATAAGTAAGGCAGATAGGAGGGGGAAGACTCACCCGATTAGGGGAAATTCTATTTTCCCTTCATCTTGTGCCTTTAAGGCTAGTAAGTATATTTCTGTATGTTGGCATCGTTCAAAATTCTTGTGGGTTCCTGCCAACACGTTCTTCTTCAATTTTCCTATTTAACTCCTATGTTGTTAAAAACGTGAAATTTCAGGTTCACTTATTATAGAAATCCTTGATTTTTCAAGTGGATTGGCCGGATTCGAGTTATTGCTGTTCCAAAATGTGAAACGTAGGCCAAAAACTCGCAAAAATCCTGGGCACTTGTCCGAAAACACGTTTTCAAAAGCTCATAACTCAAGAAGAACTTAAAAAATCAAATTCAATTCAGTTCTGAGGTCCATTTTTGGCAAAGATCTGTAGATAGTGAGATGAAAAATTGATTACATCAACTCGTATCACAAATACGAAGACAACGAAATTTCTTCATACTTTGAATTAAAAGATGGTCAATATGCACCTTTTGTTTGTATCTATCATATCGTCACTACTCTCGTTAATATTTCGCTTGAACATAAATCATGTTCAGTAAAAATATGCAAGAAAATGTCCTTTAAATAGAGTTTTCTACGGATTCGTGATTGTGACATATTCACAGCTCATCAAAGTAACTTTAACTTGAAAAATGTTCGACTTCTTCCCCTCGAAATTAGCGAAAAAAATTTACATTTTTTAAAAATTTGTTATTTAAACTTTCAGCAATACTGCATCTGTTCAACAAGGCAATATGAACCAAACAAATCAAAATGGCCAAAATGACAAAACAATTACTTTGATGATAAGCGAACTCAAGACAGTCATTGAAAGTATGAAGGCAGCAGTAGCAGGCACAACTGACGATCATGATGACAGAGACCAAATATATAGTGGCAGTGGTGGGAGTGGGAGTGCATCTGGCGAGTATCCAAGTGTTGGTGAGGAGGAGGAAGATGCTACCTCAATCAATAAAATAACTGATCCAGTCTTACTAAACCAACCTACAGATGAAAACAGTGTGGATATTTCTGAGGTAATTGTGATCAAACCTTCTGATCCTGAGACAAGAGAAATTGGAGGTGGAGGAGCAAGTTACCTCCATGCATGTGTGCTTCTCTTAATAGCATCACTTCTAGTTCAACTCATGTAAGAATATACGAATAAGCTAGAAACATTTTGAGGATATACAACTCACGCTCCTAGAACGCGATACACCTGTGGTAGCCCAAAATATATGATGGGACAATTTCTGAAACAAGTTGCAGGAAGCCTTATTCAATTTCCTAAAAAATGCATTTTCAACCGACCAGTTTAGAAATATAAAACAGGTCAATAAATGTACGTTTGCACAGTACGTTTTTATATTGCTGACAACCCGCCAGGTATTTATTTACCATAAAATAGCAAAAGGTTTAGAAACTTATACTCTGAAGACTGGGGGTGACCTGCAAACATTAAGTACATCAGTTTTTATATATTTCATACTTCTTTAGTATACATGCAATGCTTCTGTCCTGCTCAGGATTTCTGAAAGTGTTTTAGTTGATACTTCATAGATGAAACAATTAATCTCGAAGTCAGTAGCTTTATGTTGTTGCCTTTTATGTTGTATTTGCAGCTTCACCTATGTGTGATTTTTTTTTAATACGTTTTCAAATGCTATATATAGCGTCTAGAGAGTTACGGGTTTATATTCATCTTGGCACAGTGCCTTCGAATACCTCAGAAGTCACTAACCTGCAACTTGTTTCTAAAAAGCGTCTCATCAATCGATGTCACCCACACTGGTGGTGATGAATGCCAGTCACAATTTGCTACAATTGAACCGTGTATTAACGGACATCTCTCTTAAGCGGAGACATGCCTCTTGTCCCAGGTGTCTGTAATATACCAACTTCGTGTGATTTTACTGAACGGTTAGGGTTTATAATAGTTGGGGTGTTATTTAGCTACATTTTCATTGTGGAAATCGTACAAAGTTGGCGAGTTGGTATATTACAGACACCGCTCTCTTTTAAGGCTTAAGCGTACACATTGGTGTGCCCGCTTTAATAATTATTAAACCTAGCATTCCGATTGTCACATGACAAGACATGTATTATAGAGCAATGCCAAAACAATGTTAAGGTAATAGTGTTGCGACAGAAGTAATTTAATAGACATAAAAAAGTCCACAGAACATACATGTATTGAGGTATATTTGTTGTTATAGATACCAGACTATATGGTCATTGATAGCGTAGTTGGACTATCTTCAAATCTGTATAAATTTGTAATTATAATAAATGTAATTGAAATTCTGATGCAAGAAGCCAAATTGATTTGCACCACAGTCAAGCCGTATATGTCGCAGCTGTTCCTGGTTAGGTCTAATAAATGTATATAAATTTCCACTCGATCATTTCCATCTACAATTAAGACTATTATTCAATCGAGTGAGATGCCAACAATAGGCGGATTTACAACCCCCGCCCCCCAGAATCTATCTAACCCCTCTAATAAAGTGTTCAACCCCACCAAAATTTTGCTTCACCCCTCCTATATATTTTGTGTGAAAGGCTTTAACCCAAACGCCTAACTCCTGCCGAAGCTCACTGAGTGGTGCCGCTTGCCCCCCCCCCCCCCTCCCCACCAAACATTTTTCTACCCCTCCTTTTAAATAAATGAAAATCCGCCCTTGATGCCAACAAAATCTCGATATTTGATAGCAGATGGTTTTAAGATCTCGCACCCTATAACAGTGACCTCTGCCTCTTTTTTATCTATTTCCCCCTCTAACTCTTAAAATGTTTTCCTCTTCAACCACTCCATGCTCCTACCTCCTCACTTTCCTTCATCTATTTCCTCTCTCTTCTTTTCCTTTTTCCTCTACCACGTAGTTGGTCTGTGTTTCAATGTATATGGTTAAACCATACACACAAGACACAGATGATGCGTCAGGATGTGGATGATCGATCTCTGATATAAATATGGCCAATGGCAATGCATCACACTAAGTAGTTCTATTTTTTATCAATGTTTGTTTTATACTCCGGGGTTAAGTCAAAATATGGAAAAATAGTCCTGTCTGTACTCATCTTGGTCCAAATGTCATTAAAGATGCGGTACAGTCCGTATGTAAACAAAGGCTTTGTTTACATGTCGGTATCCAAAATATTGAATTTTATTCGACAACTATTTATATTTTTATGATTCTAGAGTATAATAAATTATCAAGACACAACAATTAAGCTTTGCAAGACCATAAAATGAAATAAAACCTAAATAAACTGTTTGTATAATAAAAAGAGGGCTCCTTTGTGCACATGCGCAGATCGGACTGTGCCGCATCTTTAATAATAATATGAAATGTGCCCGCCCAAGTGATCAACTATTGGGGTAAATTATCAGCACCTCAGATTATAGTAAATATAGTAAATTGTAGTGAACCATTTACTGAATTTAAGGTATATGTATAAGGTAAACGTGTAAAATGGCTAATCCGAAATTGTTGAAAATTCGGGTATTTTGGAAGATCACTGACACTGATCAAGAAGCGATGGAACTTTTTAATTATTCCCAAAGTAAAGAAAAATCAGTTGCAGTCCTTGCATGCTGCTTCGTTTCCTCGTTTGCGGTCACCATTTTTAATTTGACTGGAACCACCTTATCACAAGTTATTTTGTCATGGCTCATGAAAATCTGTGATCTGACAAAGCACAAGAGGGCTATTTTAAAGTCGCCTGCCCAGCGACTTATAATAGATTTTAGATTTATACTTAGGCTATGTTTACATTGTATCTGATCACTTTGCGTCCGACGCAAAAACCATACCGGATAGGGCTTCTGTTTACATATGAAATGTTGTTATCGTCTCAATTTCTGCAACGGAGCAATTTCGGTTCAATGCGTGACTCAAGATGGAATCTGGCAAACAACAACTTACTATTCTAATAATATATAGAAGAAAATACGACGGCATAGATGGGCGGGGCTGAAGCTGTTTACACTTGGGCCGTAACTTTTCGCGAACGAAACAAAAACTGATCCGATACAATGTAAACATAGCCTAATGATAGATCTGTAACGTTTAGCCTGGCAAGTTACAGACCGTGCGCATTGATTGTCGCGAGGTACAAATAAACATACACAACAGTCATAAAATATATGATTTACCATACCATGAGAAAACTCGACAGCAACTGGGTATTACCAAAGTGCTCATATTATTACATTATATATCAGTAAATACAGTAACTATTTAGACATCGCTCAATAATCCTCAATACAAAGTAATTATTACATGCAACTACTTGAGAGAAAACTACAAGAAACACGACAAAGGAACTGAAAGGTGCAATACATAAAAGTTGAGTGGCTACATTATTAGGCAATGACCGTTTGCTCACATGACCCATTCATTTGACGAGTTTTCTGAAAACTTGATAACTTACGAATAATTGATCAACTTTCTGTATGAATGTACCAATCACCTTTGCAATCTCGAAACCAGAACCTGCAATCCTCTAAGGAGGATTGCGGGCTCTGGTTTCGAGATTGTCACCTTTGCTTTTGGTGTATGTAATTGACCAATCATAATGGAACAGGAATGATCGGAAATGATCAAAGACAGGAAGTTCTGGGAAATTTATCAAATGTTCAAATGAATTTATTTAGCTTGGCCAACTATAGAGCAGGGTCACCACAACAGCATATGCTAATTACTGTGAGCCCTTTTACCTAACCCACCCTGTCAACTTTCCCTGTGGCAGGAAACCGGAGTACCCGGAGAAAACCCATGACTTTCGGCAGAGCGTTGACTCTTTTACTCTTTTCACATGAGGACTGGGTTCGAGTCGTATTGAGAAAGTTCTCACTGAGGCTTGAACCTGCGGCCTTAGAGGTTAAGGCAAGTGCGCTAACCACTTCGCCACCGCAAATGAATTGGTAGAATATTCTAGGAACACTTCCATTGCCACGACTGTAAGTAGTGGAATATGTGTACTACTTCTTGTCTTTATCACTGCGCCGCTTGATATTTTCTAGTTCTCTTTTAGCATCACTGTTCTGTTCAATACTTAATACTTTCTCTAAGTTCTGCACTGCTTTGTCAAATTCTTTCAATCCTTTCCATGCCATCGCTTGTCTGTACAGCGCTTTAATGTTGCTGGGTTCTAATTCCAATGCTTTGTCGCAATTGGCTAAGACTTCTTCAGGTCTGTTCATTTTTAAAGCACAAAAAGCTTTGTTGGTGTAGATTGTCGCGTTTTCTGGACAGAGCTCCTGACATGCATCGTAATGTTTAATAGCTGCCGTGAGTTTTCCTTCTTTCACCAATCTGTTTCCGTTTTCCTTGAAATACGAGAAGTTCAAAACGTCTCTGTCAGGAATATAGGAGTGGCTGTCTGCGTAGAAATCAATACCGCCCGGAATCGGTGCGCTAACACTAGCAACATTGCAAAACCAAAACAAGTCGTTGTAAACAAACGCAATGTGCTTCCGTAAACCGTCGGCAACCATACGGAATACCATCTGCTGCCAAAGTTCCACCATGGCAAATTCAGAGAAGTGGATGCTCGGGAAATTCTCGTAGAGATATCGGCATTTGTCGAAAATAAATACATCAGAAAACATTTGGCGATCCTTGGAAGTATACTTAAGACGCAGCGATTTATCTATCACCGGAAACGAAGGATATGCCATTTGACCATACAAAAGTCCCACTATTAAACTTAAGAAATCCTGTGGGCGGCTAGGATCACAAAATAAAAATTTCCGAGAGTTTTTGTATCCTTTCTGGCATCGTTTTGTTACGTCATCGTTTCCAAAAGCTTCAATAAATGCTGAATTATGCGATAATAAATGAGTCAGGATTAGACAGAATAGTTCATCTTTTTTAAACTCTGAAGACTTCCAGTTAGGGAAAATTTCTTTAACCCATGTTTTGCAAGGATCGCAATCTTGGCAATTCTCTATCGTCGTACTGAGGAGGTGCAGACTTGTACTCTGAATAAATTGGTTTTCATACACGTTATATTTTTCTTGCAAAGGCTGACCCTGTAATCCCCGGCTCCAATCTGCTTCTTTTACACCTTTTAAGAAGTCTTTCTTGCTGACGAAAAGTTGATCCCACAAAGACTGTTTTTCGGAGGATAACATTCTGTAAGCAGGTATATAAAGGTAAGCAGAATCGATGACCTGGAATGTAATATAGTCACCATAGTTTTCATCAATAGATTGAGAGTCGATTTTTGCTGCGCGAAGCTGTTCGTAGCTGCCATAATCCTGATGCTTCGTGTTCCATAATCTATACTGTAGGTACTCTTTGGTGATATGCTCAAAGCTGTTTCTTTCAGATATGTGTGAATCATTAGGCACCTGTTTCTGTTTTGGCGGGAATGAGAAATTAGTGATCAGAGCTCCTGGTGATGCGAGCTTGTTATAAAGGAAGATATAACCAATTGTTTTGAGAGTTTTTTGTTTTGTTGATGGCAAAGTCCCACATGCATCGAAGTAGATGATATCAAACTGTCCTTCTAAATCTTTTAAACAAGTTAGAAGATCACCTTTAAACAGTCGAATGTTTCTCATGTTGGATTTAGCGACGTTCTGCCATGCTTTTTCTAAAACTTTGCTATCTTTTTCGATAGCCCATACGTTTTGACAAAGGACTCCATTTTCTACGAAAACCTCAAGATCATTAATTGGGTTATCTCCGCATAGATAACATACTCGTAGATCTGACGGTTTTCTTGTCTGCACTTGGCTGTCGTGAAACATCTCCCATTTTTCGATTTCGTCCTCGATCTTCATACGCAAGTGTGGTTCGAAAAATGTTTGTGCTTCCTCAGACTCGTGAAGCTGTTGCCAGACTCGACGTACATGATCTCGTTTCACACATACGGAAGTACTTCTGTCGGTTGTAAGAGATTTAACAGCATGCTTGATCAGTCTAGTTCGACAATGCTTCTTTACTTCTTGATTATACATTTGAATACCATATACAGTATAATACGATGTAAGCTATAATGCGAGGTGTAATCTTACCGAGAATGAGCTTGCAATTTAATTGAAATTTGAAGGCGTATCGTTCTAGTTTACAAGCAGCTTTGGCTTGATTAAGCGGAAGTTGCTTGATATAAAAATATTACAAAGTTGCAACAACAACTTATTGCATCACTGCACTCACAGCATGGAGCCCAACCTGAATTTCGCTCTAAGACGTCATGCAAAGTATAAATTGTATTCCCTTGAAAATTTTATTACGCGTACTTTCAAGAACTTTTTCTCTCGTTTTATAGGGGTATTTAAAATATGATAAAAGTGATTTCACCAATAGGTTAACCAATTTTTCTCCATAAATACAGGTATCGCTATCAAGTAACATCATTGCCGGTCGAAAACGATCGATATACTACTATGCACAAGAAAGTTTTGTTATCATTCAACCGTTTTACAACACTGCCAACAAGATATCAGACACACAAGAATTCCGGGACTTTTCAAGGAGTTTTAAGGACTAAAGTAAAATCCAGGGTTGTTCAATATTTCAAGGCGGCGTATAAAGCCTGTCGCGTCTTAGGCTAGAGAAACTTTCAATGGTGAGTACTGAGTATAATTTGTGTCATTTTATTGACCAGGGCTATAGAAATTAAAGTGGGGCGCAGTGCCGTAGCTAGCATTTATAGTTGGGGGGGTGTAGGCCAAAAATTTCCGAATGACGAAGAAAATTTCCGAACTTTCGAAAATTCTTGGCGACCTCCCCCATTTTCCGAATATGTCAAAAGTTGGGGGGGTTAACCACCCCCCCAATACCCCCCCTCGCTACGGCCCTGGTGGGGCGAGGGTTATTGGATACGAGAACTTGGGGGAGAAAAAGACTTGTTTTATAACACTAAACAACTGTTGTATATTACATATACCATTAAAACAGCCGTTGTATATTATATTGGCGACGAGGATATTGGCTACAGATCTAGATCTATCGGGATTAGGTCAGTTTGACCCATACTCTGATCCCACTTTAATGCATTTTAAAATCACTTTCCTTTTGAAACGATACACAAATTATACAACATTTACACAAACGGGAATCTAATTTGTGTTCCGTTTTCAGGAGTATAACTTTCCATCTAACTCAGTTTAGATAACACGAATATATTATAGTGGAAGTTTTCTAGGGTTCAAAGCAAATGTATCGACAAGAGAATGCAACTTAATATCTTCGGCTACATCTCTTTCGCCACTTAATCTGTGGCATATAGATCACCAAAAGGTGATGCTAAATATGCATGTGGGAGCGTTTCGCTAACCTTAAAATTGAAAAATTTTCGAACAGTACTTTTATGTATTTGGCACTTTGGACTCCCCCCCCCCCATTCGTATGGGGCTGCCTACGCGCCTGTTCACAAACACTCGTAATGGGACTACTAACAAGAACCAAGCTCTCAAGTCGATCTTCACCCATGGTTATTTCAATTTAATGACGACAGTTGATTTCTTTAACTGAAATATTCGCAACTTGTACCTCCCTCTAGTTTCTTCTCACTTTTGGAAGAATTACAATATTGATCTTTAGAAACAATGGGGGGTGCCCCCCTCCCCCCCCTTGGCCACGCGCCTGTTTGTGAATAATACGAAGTACTAGCTCCAGAACTGCTTGTTTAATTTGTATATGTATATATATAATATAGTATAAATCGCAGGGTAATGTCTAAAAGGGATGGACGAGGGGTAGTTTACGAGATGGTTCCAAAATTGAAATAAGAGTTTGCGTTAGTATTAGTGTGGGGTTTGGATTAGGTGTGGGGTGAGGGTAAGGTTTAGTATATTTGCTTGTGGCTCGTTGATTCTTTTACGTTTTAATTATCTTAAAAACTGGCGACCATCTTGAAAACCTTAAATGAAGTTGAGAAACATAAAATACTAGTAAGAATGTCAATTTATTTAATGAACTTCGATCGCCAAATTCAAACATACAGACGCGTCACATGACATGCTTGAACAACCACAAACACCACAACATGTACAGCAATAATTTACGAATGGTGGGGACACCACAACAGCATATAGTGACCAGTTACTGTGGGCCCTAAAATACAACTATCAATACATAAAGTTGATGCCATATATACCTTCGTTTTGCTGCCCAAAAATTCGCGGGTGCGATGGATTTTTAGGGATTCTAAGGGTCACCATCTAAAATCTCTTCATTTTACCATTGTTTTACAGATAAAGCACTCAAACGTACTTTTAAAGTTCAGTTGCCAAGTGGGAAACGTATAGAAAACTAAAATTTTTGCATGTAGTAGTAAAATATTTGCATGCATGTAGTCATAAAGTTTTTGCATGATGTATATAGTCATAAAATTTTTGCATGTATAGTCAAATTATTTTTAAGTTTTGACATTATATATTTTTTATTGTGTACAATATATATATTATCACAGTATTTCCTGTCGTATCGTATATAAATTCTATGGTAAAGTTATAGAAAAATAAAAGTTTAGATGATGAGTACTCCTAACCGGAAAATTTTCCGTAGCGGCGCGAAACTGCATCTATCCGATAAGGAGTTATGTACAACTTTCAGAAGCTGAGCGAAACAACATCTCTCCGTTGCAATAATAGAGGTTAAGATACCCCGGTTCCGTTTTAATATGGGTACGAGTATCGCCATTTTGTTTACCAATTTTTGCTGATGTCAGCATTTTTACCCGTAATTTCTACCCGTTTCCCCGCGGTAAACCATGGTCTACACGTAAAAGACAAACGGGTACGGGTGTTTTCTATTTACTATTTGTAGGCCGCTTAAATAGTAAAAAATTTCAACATATTACCCAAATAAATAATGCACTTATGCTTGTCAAAGTTTTCAACAATCTATAGCGAACCTCAATAGGGAGTTTACGATCTACGACGCGGCCGGCTCAACGACGCGGTCTAAATTTTAGCTCACGAATGAGCGCTAAGCAATTCGATTACTGTAATAAATATTTGACTCTTTCAAATAACCTTACAAAATGCTACGTTCGGCTAATGCGATGCAATGTTTGCTGTAATTTCAACTTTTAGTAACACCTCTTGTGTCGCATTAGGCTTTCGCGTTGCCTGAAAGACGTAAAGCCTGCCGCACACGAGAGCTATGTGCTGAGCAAAAAGTTACTCGTGCCTGTTAGCTCAGCCGATAGCTCACCGTGTGCGCGTACATTTTACTGAGTTTTTTGCCTCATGCAACCTTTTCTCACGTATCAAACATGTTTGATCGATGAGCTATCGGCTGAGCTAACAGGCACGAGTAACTTTTTGCTCAGCAGATAGCTCTCGTGTGCTGCAGGCTTTAGATATGCCAATCTTTCAGAACGTGGGTCACTTGATTAAATGAATAAAGTCCCAAATTGTGTCATTTAACTGACTTTTACTTTTGGTCAATTGACCATGTTGTTCAGTGTTGTTGTTTAATGTACAGAGTTATAACTATCAATTCCAATTGTTTAACATTTTTAACAGTAGAGCTGTAAGGAATCCTACGCAGAACAAAAGAGATTGTACAGAATCATATATTGTTTGGTATATTGCTAACTTCAGCCTAAGTTTTATTTAATATAGTCATTATTTAACATGACAATTACGTTATATGAGTGTGATTGCATGCTCGCCACTTGCTCCTAAACAATGCTTGTGAATTGTGATATTTGCTTCCCAACTTTTATACCAATGTCTGTAATTTCACAGTATAAGAATCATATAACATGCAGGATTGCAAAATCCCTTTGCTGTAGAGGCGTAGAATGACTGAATCTTGAGATGATCGACTTGCCACATAACTTTTTAAAAAAGTATAGTATTACTATTGAAGCAATGTTTATAATGCATTCTTACTGTTGTAAAACTAGTTTGGTAAAATAGTTCTGTGTTTATTGTGGGTAAATTAAATAGTTTTAAACCAACCTCCGTCGCAGAGACTTTCCACCTGCTTGGGAACAGTTTATCATATTTAAAACGCGTAGCGCGAGTAACTCGAATAACATTACATGTACATGAACTGCGGGATGTTGTAGATAGGCAGTATTTACTATTATAAAATCTGTTTTTCCTGGCAAGTTTTTTTTTAGTAGATTTTTGCATACAGATTTTCAGGTACGCCAAGAGTCGGCAGCACTTCCCCTGCGATACTAACTTCTAGTATTTGCTGAAAAAATTACGTTTACGCGTAGTTAAAAAAGGACGCCGTGCAATAGACCTTTCCCCTTTTGAGTGAAATTTTGATCTAGACAAGTCTGCACAAAAATTTTACCACAGCTTGAAAGAGCATCACAAATTAGTAATATTCCGAAGTTTCGTTGCGAAATGTTGTACTGAAATGCGGATAATATAGCCTTGCGAAGTTTGCCGTTTTTCAGTCATTTGGTATTACAAACGGGAAATTGATAATGAGATGATCAAACTGATGCAAAATGTTAGATTGTAATGCAAAATGACTGAAAAACGGCAAACTTCGCAAGGCTATATATTATCCGCATTTTACAACATTTTGCAACGAAACTTCGGAATATTACTAATTTTGTGATGCTCTTTCAAGCTGTGACGAAATTGTTGCCAAGGCATATCTATAGATCAAAATTTCACTCATAAGGGGGAAAGGTCTATTGACAGTATTGTCTATGTGGAGCTCTGCAGAGTTGAGTTAAGAAATATATGATTCATTGATTAATTTAGACGCATAAATATAGACTCGACTGTTGACATAACATAAATTTATTTATTAATAATACTTGGGTCATCAGTAGATTTAAAAATACTGAAATGGAACATATCTAAAAAGTTTATATTCTTATATATGGTTTAATATATAATTATATATATACAAACAAACATATTCTACGATAACGTTGCTCTCCAAAGTTCCCTAAAGGTTTAAAATCACACTGATGGATTTTGAATCACAATAAGCAGGTATTCTTTATCTATAAAAAAATATTATACTTATAAAAGATATTATACTACTAAATATTAGATATGAAACTGTTTTACTGGAAGCAACAGCAAGTTCCAGTCAAATGTGTACAAGGAAACTACATATTCAAAACGTTGCAAGTCTTATTACTCGCAACCGAGTTAAATTTTCGGCATAGCCTACGGTCCATTTTTGCCAAAGTTTTTTTTTGTATTGAGAGCAAAGAATACTGACAAAATTCCATATTTGCAACAGGCTTAAAATGTTCGATGCATAACTCCATTTCTAGTTACTGTACCTGGGGCAACCATAATCTCGTGTTTCTTGGAACGGATTCTGAGAAATGTTAAATCATTCTAGAAAATAATTGAAAATGCTATTAATGCAACGAGATTTTCGACCATTTAAAACTATACGCCTTCCCTCCTGATCTGTTTGCCGCAAAGGGGGTTACTGAAAATTGGTCTGTTAATTCAACCGATTATATGGCCGTTTTATGAACATTCGAATCTTGCAAACATTTTGGTCGCTATATTAATGCCCTGTAACGTCATAATATCAACACAACTTCATTCATGGCGTATTAGATGTGTCCTAACTAACGCAGAGAAAAACCGTAGTTAATTGGGTCAATTGTTAGGAATCTGAAGGAATGCCCATGCGTCTATTTCCTGTAACGATGAAACAGATCCACAAAGACGAAAAAGATGGTGAATTTTGTCACTAAACATTAGTGATTAACCGATTGTGCCACAACGGAAATTACCGATTTAAAGGGGCAGTGTCACGGCGCTGATTGGCTAAAATAAACGGCGCAAAGAAACATTTAAAATTAATGCTACATGATTGGAAAATATGCAGCAACCTTCAATTTTTAAAACAAAGCAAGGATGTCCTGCATAACGAAGGGATTATAAATAGTATATCGTATTTTACTCCTAACTTGATTAATTATTGGCCAGATAGTTTTTCAAGTTTGCGCATATTTTGGATGCGCAGTAGAACCGTGACACTGCCCCCTTTAATTCATGCGCATGCAACAATCCAGACGATACCGATTTTATAATGTCAGTCGATCGAGTAAAGATGTCATTCATTTCGATTTTTCAATGATAATTTCCAACGTAACATGTTACAGCAACCAAAGTTCGCTAAAACCATTCATAAATGGCACGTTTCACGCATTAATTGCATGTTACACACCTAACATGCAACATGCTAGAATATCAGACGAATATATCAAGCGGGTTTACTGGTTTCAGCTGGAAACGTCGAGAGAAGGGATTGAGGGTTTCCGAAATTTATCGATACCAATTATCACAGAAGGCAAACCGAGCGCCCTGTAGGAAACCGTCTGTTAATATAAATATCGAAATGAAAATTCGACTATTCGATAAGAATAACTTTTATATTAATGGACCATTTGCATTATAGACTAAATTTTGATCTAGACAAAAATTTCATCAGCTTGAAAGAGCATCACAAAATTAGTAATATTCCAAAGTTTCGTTGCGAAATGTTGTAAAATGAGGATAATATATAGCCATGCGAAGTTTGCCGTTTTTCAGTCATTTTGTATTACGCACGGGAAATTGACATTTGGGTGATCGGGTGTTGGGGCATCAATTTCCCGTTTGTAATACAAAATGACTGAAAATTGCAAATTTCGCAAGGCTTTATTATCCGCATTTTACAACATTTCGCAACGAAACTTTGGAATATTACTAATTTTGTGATGCTCTTTCAAGCTGTGATGAAATTTTTGTCTAGATCAAAATTTAGTCTATAATGCAAATGGTCCATTAAAAACCTCATCTTCATTAACTTTTTCGCTGTAAAAATTATCGGATAGACGCATGTAATATGTAAAACAATAAAAAACTAATCTGCATTTCATCTATATAACAACATCATATTCGGACTACTTTGACACGGAGTGAAAAAGTCAATACACCGCTTGTTTAACGTCTATTTTAATTTCTTCAATATGAATAATTTACAAATGATCATCACAGGTGATCTGCAAAAGACGTTTGTATACGCTTGCAGAAGCGAATAATCCTTCAATATTATCCTCCACAAAAAACAGCCTGTATTTCGCTCTGTTGGTTAATTAAAAGGATGTCGGAATCCAAGAGTACGACGCAATCTATGTATGGCGCAAAAACAATCATATTTCGTGTTTTCACGGTTCTCGTTTATATTGCCTTTGGAAGTGCAATATTCCACCTTTTAGAAAAAGATGAAGCCGCGAGTGAGGTGGCGAAGTTTGAAGAAAACTACAACAAAACGATGACAAGCATTTTACGTCGTTTTATCCTGAACGAAACTGATATGAAAATCATAATGACGGAGATTCGGGAAACATTCCTGCAAGAAGTATTTCCAAAAGAGTGGGATATCACTGGAGGAGTAAATATTACAATTCAAGCCATTACTACAATAGGTCAGTGCACTGTTACTTAAACACGCTGAGGGCAGGTTCCAGCTATGAAGGCTTTATTCCTCCTGACCGGGATGGATATGTTTTGCCGATTTTGATCAATGGTATTGAACGGCATAGTTTGAAAAGACCTAAACAAACACTAGGCCAAAAAAAATATGTGGGTTTCCTATTTCTTCTTGTAAGAACTTAGGTAGGGTACGTCGGTTCTAATTTTCCTAACAACCGGACGCCATTTTGTTTAGTCGGTGCTTCCACATTCAAAGATAAATTTCCTTAATATTGCCTCAAATTTCAATTTTTCACAAACGTTTTCCTCTAAGTGGAAACACTTACAAGCATGATCCAATAAAAAAGTTTAGGGTCGGGATTTCGGCGTCCAAAAGCTAGGTAGGGTCGGGAAACCGGAAACCCACATTTTTTTCCCTATTAATTAAAGTCGTAATACAAGGTGGAGTTTGTTTAATTACAACAAAAATTATGTCGAAGACGCCATGTTCACATAATGTCGTCCCACCCGAGCTGATTTCATCTCGTGTTTGCATGAGACTTTTGAGGTGGGCTGGCTCGCCAAAAAAAACACTAGTGGTTTCACCGCTAAAAATAGTATAATATAAATATATTTTCTCACGAACTTAAAATTCGCACTTTCGCGAGCAACTTTCACGGTTATAATCGTTCACAGAGAAAATTTTATTTACAAACAATATATTCGCGTGAACAGAGCAATAACACTCAGCACGCTTAGGCAAGCCAGCCCGGGTCATTGCGTTTATTTCGGAAATTCCTAGCGCGGTCACCCGAGATCTCGGGTCAGTCGAGGGTCCCTATTAACCTACCCCTACATGTATATGTCCCATAGAAAGTGATCCCCCAAAATGGTTGCATCCGGGCTGGCTCACTCCATATAAACAACGCCTGATTATCGAATCCTTGTTTCTTTCGCACAGGTTATGGAGACATTGCGCCACGGACAGTCGCAGGTCGAATGTTTCTCATAATTTATGCTACAATAGGGATCCCACTTATGGCGATGATGTTAACGACATTTGGAGAAAAACTCAAGCACATGATCAGATCATCTATAATATGTTTCGAAAGAAAAATTCTCAAGAGAAGTCGACCTCGAGATATCCAAAGGAAGTCAGTGATTGCAGTGTTTGTTATAACCGCAGTTTTGCTCTGCTTCATTTCTGCTATCGGTACAATGATTGAAAATTGGGACTTTTCCGTGGCATTGTATGTTTGGTTTGTGACTATGACAACCATCGGTTTCGGAGACTATGTGCCCCAAGGTAGAGGGACGTCAAATCCAATACTTGCAGCATTAGAGTTTCTCTATGCAGTGATCACGTTTTTCCTAAGCCTGACATTAATGGCGTGTATACTTCATGCGTTATCTGATTGGCTGAACAGTACGAAACCGCCAAGCAAGAATGATCTCAAACAATCTCTGAGTCGTATCGCGAACTCGCTTTCGACGCGTAGAGAAGAACAACCTTCAATAATCATGGCATTGCCTCGTCCATTGCCACCCCAAGCATTGCCTCGCACTATGTAACTACATGAAATGGACGGAAAGTTTTGAGCTAAATGGAGGCAGTGGAGGTCACTTCACGACATGTTGGGGTAGGGTGGGGGGGGGGGGGAAATTTCAACATGCATGCCAAAGAGGTTTCGGTGTCGCAAATCTTTCTTGATTACATGAATAAAAAGTCCCAAGTTGTGCCATTTGACTGGCATTAGATACTTTGTCTAAGATAATCAATGGACCTATTACCTAATAACCAAAATTTTTATCTCAACAAGTCTAGACAAAAATTTCACCACAGCTTGAAAGAGCATCACAAAGTTAGTAATATTCCTAAGTTTCGTTGCAATTAGTAATATTTCGAAGTTTCGCTTTCCGAAAAAAGGCATCAATTTCCCGCGCGTAATACAAAATGACTGAAAAACGGCGAACTTCGCAGGGCTATATTATCCACATTTTACAACATTTCGCAAAGAAACTTCGGAATATTACTAATTTTGTGATGCTCTTTCAAGCCGTGATGAAACTTTTGTCTGGACATGTCTAGATCAAAATTTTGTTCATTAGGTAATAGGTCCATTGACCATGTTGATTAGCATTTGTTGTTTAAATTAATGTACAGTTATAACTATCAATTCTGGGCAGCTGCCCAGAAAATGACACCACAAACTTGGTGCCAAAAATGTAAAAATTAGCAATACTTATCATGTATTTATTTTGAAGAGCATGCTCTAGGAATCTTAAAACTGAAGTTCTTTTTACAGTAAATGAATGAAGTTCTTTTTACAGTAAATGAGTCTGGGTAAATTTTAGAGTAAGTTTTTTTTAATTTGAATCAACTATGAATATTGATATATTATACATTTAGATAAGTTTTAAATGTTAGTAAACCCATTGAGTGGCAGCACTCTCCACTTGACAAGTAAAATCATCTGGCGTTAGACATAGTAAAATACTAAATGGGTGCATTGCCACTTAAAGGGTTAACAAGTGTACTTAACCCAGTAAGCTGCAGAGCTTCCCCACTGACGAGTAAAATCGTCTGGTGTTAGGCAAGTAAAAAAAAAAGTAAGGCGCACTGGGGCGCATCGCGGCTCAATGGGTTAATGTGTCTTAGTGAATGGTGGACTTTCGTTGCTAGCAACATTGTAGCAAGATGTGAATGAAAAAAATACAATATAAAAAAAAACACTGTATGTTTTACCTGTGGGTCAATGTCTCTAACAGTTCCTCTAGCTTTTGCCGTCAACTGATGGATTAGACCAGAATATTGAACCGTAGTCGAGTTATCCAGGGTAGTACGGATTGGTATACCTGCAAAGATTTTTGAGATAGTCACACTCTTAAATAGATTAAAACATTAAGCTGGAATGTTAGCAAATGCACCAGACTTTGTTACTTTAGTCTGTCTAATGCCATTAGTCTGTCTAATGTCTAATGCCTAGTGACTATTCGACGATCACATTTCAAAAAATACTATTGTACAAAACCAACAATTACTACAAAGCTAACTAACACTTCATATCAGTAATGGGTCCTTCCAGAAAACATCCATACCACCCCATGGAAAAATTTTGGATGTCTTAATATATTTACTATTAGGCCAAGTAAAAAAAATTCCCAGTTTCTCTTCAGACGTTTTTTAAATGCAAATGCGGCGGGTGGTTTTTATTTTTATTTTTTATATTAAACAACCAGTTTTTTTTAACAACAGAACTTAAATTGTTTAATAAAAACCGCTATTCTACAATGCATATTTATTTAAAATATAGTATTCATAAAAAAAACAAGAGGTTGGCAGTCATTTGCATAAAATATTACACTGCTGACCACCCACCGCTAAATATTTCATGTTATTGTTATTTTAAAATAAAAAAAAATACAAATGCGGCGGCTATTTCCTAATGCGGGCACTGATGAGAAACCGGGAATTTTTTTTACTTGGCCTTATCAGAAACACATTTTTGTCCCCTCCCCCTCTGGACAGCTTGGGGCAGGTTGGTTCTTTTCTGGAACAACTCAATATAACAACACTTGACAGCAGCTCAGCAGGTAAGGTGTGCCACTGCCATGTTCTACTGTAGGTGATGGGTTCAAGTCCACTTTGATTCAATCCCATTATTTTTATATTTGCTTTAGTGGTTTTGCTTAAAACTTGTTTTACTTTTTTTCCTAACTAGTTTTAACTCTCTTTGACCATTAAGGTTAGGTTTGGAGTTGCCATCAGTTTATTTTATAAAAATCTCAATTATGCCATTCATTTGGTATTTTTTGCAATGTGACCAGCTCTGCCACTCAAATAATGATGGGACTAAATTTCTAGCAAAGCACTTTAGGAATTTAGAATAGCATCATAGTGATTATTTGACCAGCAGCCAGTTATGTTTCAAAAAATACTAAATGACCGGCAGTCACTATAAAAACAAGTAATATGAAATGTATTTTTACAAAGGATTCCAGTGAGCTTGACAGCAGCTCAAATGGTTGGGCACGCGACTGCTGCGTCCATGTTCCCAGGTTCAAGCCTGCTTAGAGATGTTGTTTGTTTGCCTTAGCAATTTCACTTTTTAACTTTTTTATTTAACTTTTTTTGTTTAGCTTTTTACTTTCTTCAACTTCTAAGGGTTGGGGTTAAGATCAGTTTATTTTTGAAATTTGCTGTAACCCATTGAGCGCCAGCGCTCTCCTCTTGACGAGTAAAAATGGTCTGGTGATAGAGAAAGGTAATAAAGTAGGGTGTATTAGGGCATAAGGCAAGTTAATGGGTTAGCTATAAATGGCCGTCTGTGCCAGTGCCAATATTAACAAAGTTCAATGTTTGTGATGACATTTGATGGTTTCAATTTGCTCAGCCAATCAGCTTGAATCTGGTTGAACGTGATTGGCTGATCAGATTAAAACCTTGAACTTTCTCAGTATTGACAAACGTTGAACTTTCTCGGTAAAAGCATTCAACTTTGTCACATGAATAGGCAATTTCTTATGAGCGACCATGCATCCTTAGTTGCAAGCGCTGCCGCGACGGTAGCTACTAACATCCTGACAAAGTTTTGGAAGGGTAGAGCTCAAAACGTTGAATTTCTCCTTGTACTTTTCAAGTGGTTGAATTCCTACCAACCAAAAAGTTTTGTAATTATAAATGACAGACTGCCAGTCATTTCGTAAAACATGACTGGCTGCCGGTCAAATATAATCATCGAGTTAATTTTTTCTAACAAAGCCGTCAAAGCGCCTTAGGGATTTAATACCGTGGCATAAAATCATTCACACCATAACAATGGAAAGAATATAAGTTGTTCTTTAAATTTTATTACAAAATGAAGAAATTCACGTCATTCATTCACCTTCTTGATTAACAACAATTATCCCGATCACTCCCTTGTGAGCTTGAATGCGCTTTAAAGTTTCTTCAACTTCCGACTAAAACGTCGCGAAAAGACAAAAGAATGAACTCTGTTACATAACAGAAACCCCGATAACGTAAAACAAAATAAAATCGTTATAAATAAAGTGTACACATACCATTTTATTGTATTTTTTTCACACTAAAAATTGTCAAAAATCTTTCAAAATATTTTTAATGGCGTTGCTATGACTCTTGTTTCCACAATTGATAGTCCAAATTTCACTTTCGTTCGAAAAATTTCCTTGAACTACAGTATTTTATGAAACTGTAAAATTTAATTTAAATTTTATAGTATTTTAATCTAGTATGAGCGACTTTTCGTTTAATTAAAAACAGACTTATATGCAATGTCAAGCAATGTCAATAAATATAAAGAGTAAAATTAAAGCAAATAAAAATATTATTTCCGAAATTCTTCTTCGCTTCTATTAAATTTGTCAATTCTTTTAGTGGAAACGCTATGAGCAGCTGGTGCACGCCCCCAGCGGTCGAGCACAAAAAGAGCGCACGCTCTAGCGCAATTCCGCCAAAAGGAGGGAAAATTTTAAAACTCCTCTATTAAAAAGTTTTTTGTTTGTTTTAACTGTAAATCTTGCGTTTGGTCGGCTACATGAGTGCAACCACAAGGAATGTAAGTATATTAAAGTTTGTTTCAGTTATTGTACTTTTTTATGAGAAGCAAACTAGCAATTTTTATAATATTTAAAGCTTTTCTTTTGTCACCCTGTCACGTGTGGTCTGTGTGATAAATTGTTGTGAAAAATAATGTAACAAATTTGGCCTACACACGTAAAAATCTCACAACCTGTCAACAAGATGTGTGCGCAACATACTTGTAGCAAGCTTGTCAACAAGTTGTAACAATGCTTTTGTTTCATCAAGTTGCTACAAGGTTGTCACTCACAACTTGTTAACAAGTTGTAGAATTGCAGGACGATAACAGGTTGTTGCAACAACTTGTAACAAGTTTGTTGAGCTCAACAACCTTGTAGCAAGGTGTTAACAAGCTGTTGACAACTTGTCGACAAGCTGGGAACAAGCAGTGCGAACACATCCCGTTGACAAGTTGTTGGAACAGCATTGCTACAAGTCTGCAGCAAGTTTGTTACAACTTGTGCGTTTTTACGTGTGTACACACGTAGCAAGTTTGTGAACAAGTTGTAACAATGCTGTTATTTTATCAAGTTGCTACAAGGTTGTCACTCACAACTTGTTGACAAATTGTTGAATTGCAGGACGATAACAAGTTGTTGGAACAACTTGTAGCAAGTCTGTTGAGCTCAACAACCTTGTAGCAAGTTGTGAACAAGCCGTTAACAACTTGTCAACAAGCTGGGAACAAGCAGTGCGAACACATCCTGTTGACATGTTGTTGGAACAGCATTGCTACAAGTCTGCTGCAGGTTTGTTACAACTTGTGTGTTTTTATGTGTGTACACGTGTAAGAATCTCACATCTTGCAACAAGTCTGCCAACAAGCTGTCAACAAGATGTATTTGCACTGCTTGTCACAAGTTGTCAACAAGTTTGGAACAACTTGTTGACAACTTGTAACAACCTTGTCAAAATTATCAGACTTGTTGCAAGGTTGTTCTGACAAGTTTGTTACATGCTTGATATAACAAGATTGTTACAACCTTGTGTTGACAACCTTGTACCATCCTTGTTATTTCATGGCCGTAACAAACTTGTTAGCACAGTCTTGTAACAAGGCTGATAATGCCATCAAGCTTGTTACAAGTTGTTAACAGCTCTTGTTCCAAACTTGTTACAACAAACTGGGAACAAGCCGTGCGAACACAACTTGTTGACAGCTTGTGAACAGACTTGTAACAACTTGTTTGCAGACTTGTTACAAGCTGTGCGTTTTTACTCGTGTACACACGTAAAAATCTCACAACTTGTCAATAAGATGTGTTCGCAACAAGCTTGTAGCAAGCTTGGCAACAAATTGTAACAATACAGTTATTTTATCAAGTTGCTACAAGGTTGTCACTCACAACGTGTTGACAAATTGTTGAATTGCAGGACGATAACAAGTTGTTGCAACAACTTGTAACAAGTCTGTTGAGCTCAACAATCTTGTAGCAAGTTGTCAACAAGCCGTTGACAACTTGTCAACAAGCTGGGAACAAGCAGTGAGAACACATCCTGTTGACAAGTTGTTGGAACAGCATTGCTACAAGTCTGCAGCAGGTTTGTTACAACTTGTGCGTTTTTACGTGTGTACACACGTAAAAACGCACAAGTTTGTTACAAGTCTGTTCACAAGCTGTTAACAAGATGTATTCGCACTGCTTCTCACAAGTTGTCAGCAAGTTTGGAACAACTTGTTGACAACTTGTAACAACCTTGTTGAAATTATCAGACTTGTTGCAAGGTTGTTCTGACAAGTCTGTTACATGCTTGATATAACAAGATTGTTACAACCTTGTGTTGACAACTTTGTAACATCCTTGTTATATCATGGCTGTAACAAACTTGTTAGCACAGTCTTGTAACAAGGCTGATAATGCCATCAAGCTTGTTACAAGTTGTTAACAGCTTGTTTCAAACTTGTTA